TCACCCGGCTTTTCTGACAATACTTTTCATCTATAATGACTTGATCGATATCCAAGGAACTACTACAATTAAACTAATTGAAATCAAATTACTAGATTATTAGGATTACTACAGTAAATTGTTAGACTTGCCGCCTATTGAGCAATCATCGTAATTTCTCCTAAAGCAAATTTGACTTTCAAAAGTGGTTCTTTGTTTCACACATCTATTCAACCATAACGGAACAATTTTTCAAACTCTTTCTCTTTCCCATTTCAACTGGAATGTCTTGAAAGCGCTAGCTTTACTTACGCTTAGTCTTTCCTTAGGGAAGGAACCGCTGGGATGTCACAACACAGGGTAGTATGAAAGCAAAGGATATGTGGGTGTCGAAGAAATCCCAGTAAAATAAGTAGAAAGTCATCTCTTTTCCAACGCCCTTGCCTGGCTACTTTTCTTTACATATCCCATCTAAATTGTAGTTCCTTTGACACATTGATTATACCAACTTGAGTTTCTGATGACATGAGTTCCTCAGTGACTTCCAGACTGCCAGCTTCTTACGAACTGTTGTGAAGATAAACAATGTATTTCCGACTCCACTGACAAGATAACATGATGATAGGAGTTCTTTGGCTAATGTCAGCACTCGACTTCAGTTCGAACAATGTCATCAACCCCTGTTAACTCCTGAGCAGAAAAGAAAATCATTGATTACCATAGTGCCGAATTAGTAGTAGCCTTTGCCTAACTACACTATCGCGAGCTGTAGATTTCCGAAGTTCACCAAACCCAAGAAGGCGATAATATTTGACAATGGTCTTGGTGACCAATCTTTCCTACCCTCTAACAGAACGTTTCGTTTTCTCGGCTCTGATCCTTTTCGTTGGACCATCTAACCAATTACGTTCCTATTTCAATGCGAGTTTTCTGATATGCAAGCATCAAGGAACAGTCGTAGATGGATTCTCTGCTGATCAATCCCGATACCAGAGATGCAGAAACTCGGGTATGAATCGGCTTGCATCTCCAGTAGAATACATCCCAACAAAATCTTTTTGGTCTGCCAATGTCTCGCACCATCACGGCAATGTAAATCCACAACCTAGCACGAGGTACGCTCGTAAATATACCGCTAGGCAACGTGCTACATCCATCCTGCCATGCTTGCTCCTTTGTCTGTCATTCCCATGGCCTCATGATGCACCCGAATGCTGCCTTTCCCTTCTTCACGAACTCTAAACTCTCCTCATTTTCAAAAAAGCGATCGTCTCCCCAACAACTTTATTCGAAACGCAACAGCAACTAATAACATTCACAAGAGAGGTCAACATGTGAACGTAAAGTGGTAAAACGATGACCATCACTACATCAATATCCGCATTCACGTCAATAAGTGGAACCACAAGTCTTCAATAAAGGAGTTTCGCCACCACTTTTCGGTGCACATCAGCCTATGGTTCCATCGTTCGTCAATCATTCAATCATATCTCTGAGCTCAAACAGCATAGCAAGAAATTAGTGAGTGGAATTTGATGAATAATAAAGTCGAAACATTCGTTACATCCAACGGCATAAATGAAGTTGTTAAGAAAAAAAAACTAATAGAGGAAAACGCGCTTCACGACATGTCACAATGACCTACCACCGCTTTAATGACAGAAGGGAATTATCATTGAAACAAAGACCTCTTTGGGTACAACGCCACGAAATGTCTTCTATATTAGCGCTTTCCAGAAACGTTTAACTCATTTCCAAACCTGGAAACAAATTTATTTTTTATTCTTACATACATGGATTCAAGATCGATAATCACATTCAACGGTGACAGGATATTTCATAGCACAATTAAAACCCTAATGAAAAAAATCAGGGGAAGGCAAAAGCGATAATAGAATTTTTATAACTTATTCAAACAAATAACTTTTAAACAAGAAAATGGAGTGATGTTTAGCGGGAAGAAGTCACCCAAGAGACATCACCCGCATCTGATCTGCCTTAATCCTTGGTGGAGATCTTGTATCCAAGAATGGCCTCCTCACCACACGCAGACACAACCGAGACCTAGAAAACTTTCATTGACATTGATGTTCAAAAACTGTTAAACTCACATGTTTAGAATGATGATCTTAATTCTATAATTGGGAACTTAATAACAATTTAAATGAATAAAAAAGTGAGGTTCCACGATGCCACTGTAGAATTTACTCCTACAACAGTTCAGAATTCTACAATGCATGCAAAAAACTAATGAGAAGATACAACGCTCAGAGGAGATGGAGGTTGTTTGGTTATTGGGGTATTTGGCTGAGTGGACTGTGGTTAACTTGACATTCCCAGGCTCTGAGGAAAGCGAAATCCACTGAAACGTCAGTTTTTCTGTCAATAAAGAATAAAAAACACCCCGTGTTTGCTCAACAAGAGTACAAAGAACAGTAGTACTCAAAATGCGACATGCATCTGACTCCATACCCGGGAAGATCTGCCTAAGTACACTAATTTCAACTGATTTTCTTTCCTGTCCTTTATTTCGCAGCAGTTATCAATGCACCTACTTCACTCATACGACTTTTACCTGATACACAAGAGCAAACCAGGTGTCGCACAAGAAAAGCTATGCCCCTCACTTAATATTACACAAGAAGGCCATTCATCGAATGAGTACATTCGTTACTTCATAAAGACAGTTACTGATAAGAAGAGCATAAAAAGCAAGACTATCACACACGAAGCAGTAAGCAATCCCCGCTTCCCGCATACGTCCCGCAGCTGCTAGATTTTGTATGGAAAGAGTAGGAAAAAAACTGCTTCAAATAAGGAAATTTTTGTTGGTACTTGGGATATGAGCAGATCGGTTTACACAAATTAATCTTAGTTCAAAACGCTTGTAGTGGGAAGCTAGGCGTCAACTAAACGTAAAATCAACAAGAAATTAAGCGGCGGATTCCATTTGTTAATAGATACAGATGCACAATATGTATACCCATGCTTCAGTTACTCCAAAAATGTCTCTGAATAAATTAGCACTAGTAGTTCCATAAGCTCGTGTAGCGAAATGGTCGCATGAGCCCTGAAATACACATGGGGTCGATCTCCGCGCTCCAGTCTCACTACGGCTTCCACGCCGAGAGCTTTATCCTTTAATTTTTTAAAATTCCACATGACGACGAGTGGTAGTACAGCACACATTCATGAATAAGTAGCCCACTGATTAAGTATACTGAGCATACGAACAAGAAACGCATAGGTTGCACAGACATTTGCTTCCGTTTCTTAAAGAGGTAGGACTTGTGCAATACACCGCCTTAACAAATATCGCCATGTTACATGGCTATACATCGTTTGCAATAGTAAAGGCAAGCCAATTGTAAAAAGAACACATAGCATTAACAGTAAGAGAACAACACAGTGACTTTAACGCACCCTTAACAAAAACTATTTTAAGCCTGCCACATATTACACATAGCCAATGGGAAGGCTAAATGAGGCTCGATCTGGCCTGTGGTCCAAGTTTTGCAAATACCTCAGCACAACAGTGGCTGTATGCTACATATTTCTTCACAATTCTTGACGAGCCACTTTCGCCCCAACTAGATATATCACCTGTATCACTTGTAGTCTCGTCGATCGTCGAGTCACTTGAGCGGGCGCTAGTATCTCCTCCATTTTCCCTGTCACGTGGTAGAGTAGCTCAGTGGGTTCTGTTCGCTCTAGAGCCTAGTCGAGCATCTTATCGTTCTTCAAGGCTCTTTGTGGAGAACTCTGACCATCGGGTCGGTGGTCCTCCTGCAGTACGTTTGAAATTCCGCGGAATCCAGTCACTAACGGCTGTTGTCCATCGGTTGTCATTCATACGACTTACGTCACCGGCCCACGTTATCTTCCTTCCACTGTTTGGCGTACAGAACGCCGTCTTAGATTTTTTATCGTTGACGCAGTTCGGAGCTTCGGATCCCATTCCTTACTTGTGTGGAACGGGATACTCCTAGCATCGTCCTTTCGACTGCGCGTTCGATAACGCTGAGTGACCTTTCATCCTGCTTACGTAGCGACCAGGTTTCTGACGAATACGTTAGAGCAGGAAGTACCCTTGAGTCGAAAAGGTGGGCACGTAGTCGGGTGTTCTTTTCTTCACTGCATCCTCGACGCTCTTGAAACCAAGCCGCTCCTTTCCTTCTGCTCAGCTCTGGAGCCAGGTCGTTCATTTTCTAGATATATAAGCAATGTAAACGCAAACAGATGCAAACATTCTACGGTGTTAGTAGAACGGCCTAATCAAGAGCACATGGCGAGCATTACTAAAGAACGGAAATACTTAGTATTTCACATTTGTTTCCTTCCTATTCCTACAGCTCGAGTATACCTTATACATGAAGATCTTCGCAGCCACTCCTAATAAAAGATAAAAGATAAAGCTCTCCGTGTTGATCAATGCCTTAGGGATGCGCCATGCATTCGATTTCACCAAGTATCGTTTGGAGGGGTTGAATGCATATCTGGCCTTTACAATGACTCGCGGTGGCCTACCGATGTATCCAGTCAGTGCTGCTATCCTCCCAGACAAGTTTGGTACCGAGTTTCCAACCCCAAAGGGATGGAGTGCTTGGTGGGCCTGGGGCGCCGGGGTCGATCGTCCATGTGTATTGCGGGATACCCTCGACCACTGCGCCCCTCCATCGCCTCCATTACGAGGTGTACAAATGAACATCCACGACCAACATCTTAAACCGTACTATTCCCATAACATGCTTACAACCATACACTTTACAAAATTTGTAGATCGAACGGTGGATACTTTTTGTCTGGCTCAAGCCTTAGTTTAATGGATCAGTTAACCCATACCTTAATTCTTAGGTGCGTTCAAGTATAACTGACGGCTAACACATATCTTAAAAGAAATAATGACGGAACACAAAAAGAACTACTACTGATGTTCACAATGCTCAGTTCGAAACTCCGATCATAAAGATCAGACGAAACTTATCCAACCATCATTGCATCGCGAACCACCATGGAATCAATTATGGAACGCTACTCACAAGAACCGATCCTTCATCCTTATCGAGCGCCTCCTTGATCTGATTTCCAAGTTCGCCTTCTGGCATCTTAAGGTCATCCTTCAGATCACAGGTTTCAGGATCCATAAGACTACAGAAACCGTCTTCGATTGACATGAGCTAAATGTGGAAAACATCAAAAGAAAGAAATATCTGCGATAAGTTAATGTGAGACTAACTACCATAATGAGAGCTCTTCAGCAATCTATTTTCGTTCATTTTCTACTGAATATGACAATACATTACCATTGACATGCTGGAAAAACTAAGACAAGAGAAATAAACAGGACGTAACTTTACCTTTAAAATATACCATAGCGGTCCATCGAACAAAATCATCACAACTTACAATAAATTCACGACGCTTCACGACTGGTACATCCATGTTGTGAGTAGATGGACAAATATCTTCAAGTTTCTTGTTGGTGAAGATATCCAGAGCCACCAGATGTACCTTGGCGTGGCCGTGTTTGCCAGTCTTCGAGGTGCTCATTTCAACAATCTTAAAGGAAAGGGCTTTAAATTAAGCTCTCAAGGATTAAAAAGCCTCAGTGAGTGAAAAAACATAACATTTTATTAATGTTACGAAACTAACCTGGATACTTGGATGGCCTGTCCTCATTGGTTGTGCAGATCCCAGCATAATCTCCATTGTTTCCGAGTTTTAATGATTTAGCCATTGTGGTTCCCTGGAGTTCCGAGGTTAGCCAGGCCACAAGTCAGCCCCAGGTCGTCACCACCACAGGCCGTCGCCGCCCTTGTGGATCAGAGGGAGATTTGTCACCATGCAACCAGTTTGGTACTAGGAAGGTGACGGATCCTGGTACTGGTTTCAGTTCAATGTTACAAAACAGAAAACTCAATACCAGCCTGAGCAACGCCACCTTGAACGATGACGGCGCCAGAAGGAAACGTATGGAAAATATGCTAAGGGTCACACTACCAGTGATGACGGACCATCCAGACATTCAACTAAGAAGCAAGTAAGCGTGCTCACCTTACAGGGACGGCCCTTGATCATGACGTGCTCATTCTTACGAAGAGCTGAGCACTGCTTTGGGAAAGTAGCTGCTGCTCCAGACTCGGCCGATGCAAAGTGCTCATCGTCATGCTGTTCATCAGCCATTTTCCCCTAAAAAAATGAAAACGCGTCACTAAACACAATACTTAACACGGTCGATAAGATCGATAACGCCGACATGACAACGACAACAGAAAAGGATTAAGGTGATGAATACCCACAAAACAATGCAGCACAAGACAACCTCTGCACACGACAACTTCAATAACATCGGTAAGCATTGTGAAAATACGTACACAACACATGCAGTACTATATGCAGTATTGCTAGGGAAGGTATGCAGAAACGGTCGTTGAATGGACCATAACAATTCACCGATGGCTATAAACATGACCTGACCATCGCCACTAAACCGGACGCAACCCGTACGCTGGTGTGGTCACACAGTGGGTTGAACTGCGTATCGACATGGTTTTGGGAGTCGACGCGCAGCAGCGAACACTCACGTGCGTCTATCGCGCCTATCTAAACCATTCTTCGGTCCTTTAATTGGGGTTGGAAGGATAGGAGCGGTTTCAGAACAAGGGAATGGGGCTCTCGGACATGAGCAGATTTGGAACTGATCACCATAGGCGACAACTACTTGGGGATCAACGAATAGGATGGGAATGATTTCATGTCTATGGAACGAGCCTCCGGATTTCAGCATATCCGGACCGGACCACTATGGACGACGGCTGAGTTGGAGAGAAATGGATGGAAATTATGCTGGGACCTGTACTACCGGTGAAGCTGGGCCACTTAACTAAGTAACTAATGTGGAAAGACTGGTTCATTAAATGTCCGTGTGATGTCTGACGAAATCGTTTAAGAGGACTCTACAGTTGGTTGTACGGGAAGCTTTGCTTGAAATCAATAGCATTTTACGCCGTGAATTGGTGTTGTTTTTAAGTCGTTGAACATTCACAAGTGCTCTTCTAATGTCAATAATGCTGAGATATGTGCAAAACTTGAAGCCCACGCCCGATGGAACCGCGATTAGCCTTTAAAGGCAAAGGTAGGGTAGGGGTAAGGGAAAGCCTTTGGCGTTAAAAGCAACGTAGGGTAAGGTAAAGCTTTTAAGGGTAAAGGTAAGGTAAGGGTAAGGTGAAGAGTAGTCGCGGTGCGATCTGGCCTAGGATACAAGTTTTGCAAACATGTCAGCATCATCGTGATTGTACCTCACGTAATCCCTTGCAATGAAAAAGTAATGGGCAAGGAAAAAAAATGTTCTACATTGCTCTTCCAATTGTTTGCTTTTTGTCGAAACCAGCACCTACTCCTAGGCATGGAACTGTGATACGTACCAGTTCGACCTTTCCATTCAAACGCTTAGCTGTTTTGGAAAAAACCTGGACTCAGGACGGCGACCTTGTCTTCGAGTGTACAGTGGTCAGCAATCGCTTGTGGTAACATCCTGGGAACGCCCTAACACGGATTTATGGTGATTCTAGAGACAGCTAAGGAAAGCCCTAGCAACTAATTAGAATATGTACTGGCTGGCCACGGATCTCCCTCATATGAGGGATCTCGAGCCGGTTAGTCGCGAGGCTACGTTGCGCGTCCCCAGGTGGAGGATAGGGGTTTAATCGCTGACCAAAAGCGATCTTTGCTTCCCTGAGACGCAGGTGTTCAGATGATGGGCTCCCTATTCATGCTGCGAGATTTGGCACGTACTTTCTGTATTTGCTAGGGGTATTCATGCATGCGTGTGTGGGTGCGTTCTTGCTTATGCGGATTGTATTCTACGAGTCAATTCGGCCAAAAGCCTGCAATCAAGTGACTGAGAAGTATATGGGAGGCGGTTAGGAGTCGCCTCCAACAAATAAGCTCCATGTCCACTCTGGGAGAGCTTGGTAAGCTACCCGTGAGTATACCCAGTCCCCATGTTCAGAGAACAGCAAGCTATACGTGGTTATCAAAAATACTAACACAGTAAGGAAAAAAACGGGTCTCATTCCCCTGGCCGCGAAAGAGCCCCAGTTTTGCAGCGCTGGTTAGGACGAGTACGGAGAGGCTGCTAAAATCTCAGACCCAATGGAAGCTGCCTAGATTACAAACAACTATGGTGACGATCTGTATCTGCAATGCACGTACACTTGCATCCGAGTCCTCGATAGAAGACTTGCTCATGAAAGCAAGAAGGATAAAGTACGACGTCACCGGCCTGGCCGAGACGAGAAGACGCCAGCCTATCAACGCCGTCTGTGACACCGGACAAGAACTGTTCCTCAGAGCATGCGACAGTAGAGGAGTCGATGGAGCCGGCGTTCTCGTCAACACAAATTTGTCCATGAACATCGATTCATTCGAACAACTTACAAACCGAATCCGACGATTGAAAGGATGTGGATCAATACAGGCTTTGACAATCTTCGTCGTTTACGCACCGATATAAAACTATGACGAAGAAAAAGTCGAAGCGTTCTATATGGACTTAGAGAAGCTCTACAGAGAAGACCATACATTCTTCAAGGTCACCATTGGAAATTCCAACTCCAAGATTGAACCAAGAAGAACGCCTGAAGGACGTAACATTGGGACCCATGGATTAGAATGGAACGAACATGGTGATAGGGTATCTGAGTTTATCATGGCGACCAAGACCATCCATGGCAACTCGCAATTCCAGAAGCCCCAACCTCAGCGCTGGACATGGGAGTCTCCCAATGGAGAGTACCACAACGAAATAGACCACATCATGGAAAATAAATGGTTTTGCCTAACCGATGTCGCTGTTGCCGCCAAAATTCTACACCGCATCAGACCACCACCTCCTTCGCGCAAGATTCTTTTCTCGCGGAAAGCAGAAAAAGCCGCTAAATTCAAAAACCAAAGTCCCAGAACCACCGTAAACAGTAACTTATTTAATTCATTGGTCGGCTGCTGGGAAGATTCCGTTGTCGATAACATCGACGTAGAATACGATCGGCTCATTCAACACCTTTACGTTAGAGCTATGAAAGTTGAGAGTTCGAAAGCCACCAAAAGATGTCTTTCTCCAAGAACACTCGAGCTAATACGCCAGCGTAGAATCGCACGAGCTGCAGGCAGCCGCAAACTAACGTCCGAATTTGCAAACAATGCAGACAAGCGATAGAAGATGTTAAAGAGAGAAGAGCAGCAGTAATAGTCGAAGCTGCAGAGGTTGGGAAAAGCATTCGCAAAGCCCACCGAAGCTTCGCCAATTGCAAGACCAAGATGATTGCACTTCGACGCCCAGACGGAACAGTTACAGCGTCCAGAAAGGCAATGGAGAAAATCATTCATGAATACTACTCGGATCTCTTCGATAGCCACATTCACCTTCCGTCATATGAAATTAAGTAGGATGGGTATGTTGTACCACCGATTCTCCATTCCAAAATTCGACATGCCATTTCGTCGGTGAAAAATCGAGTAGCACCAGGTCCGGACAGGATAAGACCAAAACACCTGAAGAATCGAGCAAGACTCCCGTACGTAACATCACGGCTCTGAGGAAGGCGAAGTCGCCGAAACGTCAGCCATCGATCAATAACATCAAAAACAACGACGACGACAACTACAATGAAGATCTGTACCAACCTCGCGTCAGCTTAAGAAGATCAGTTTATAAGATCACATAAATAAATATATCGACCGTGTTATTGTTTAAGAAGGGTGACACACGATATCGGCAACTATCGCCCAATCTGCTTACTCTCTGTCGTCTACAAGCTTTTCACTCGAGTCATCCTAAACAGGATTGATAGAACACTGGACGAAGGACAACCATGTGAGCAAACAGGATTTCGAAACGGGTTTAGTACTATGGACCACATCCACACGGTAGCACGGCTTACTGAAATATCGCAAGAGTACGAAGGACCGCTCTGTCTCACTTTCGTCGATTTGCAGAAGGCAACCTTGATTCAGTTGAGATAGAAGCCGTCTTGGAAGCTCTTGACAGTCAAAGAGTGCCTACTCAGTACATAAAGATTCTTCGTGAGGTGTACAAAAATTTTACAACCAAGGTATTACCATTTTACAACGATATTAACATTGACGTCAAAACAGGAGTTCGACAAGACGATACCATCTCGCGAAAATTATTTACCGCCACCTTCCAGAACGTCATGCGAACATTGGAATAGGATAATATGGGGCTGAAAATCGATGGTCGGCAATTACATCATCTCCGCTTTGCTGATGGCATCGTGCTTACAACACCAAACATTAGCCAAGCGGAACGTTTGCTTGACGACTTTGATAAAGCCTGTGGAAAGATTGGTCTTCGACTAAATGTCACAAAACGATGTTTATGAGGAACGGATTAGTTTTGTATGCCCCATTCACGCTCAACGGAACGGATATCTCCGAATGCTCCAGTTATGTCTACCTAGGTCTGGAAATCAATATGATGAACGACCTAGCTCCAGGGCTGAGCAAAAGGAAACGAGCGGCTTGGGGAACTCTCAAAAGCATCGAGGGTGTAGTGAAAAGGACAAAGAACACTCGACACCGCGCCCGCTTTTTGGACTCAACGTTTCTTCCTGCCCTAACGTATGCGTCAGAAACCTGGTCCTCTACACTCTACACGGAACACCAGTGATCGGGCTGCGCCTACTCATAACCCGTATCATTGTTGCATTAATTGCAGAGTTGTATTGCTATGATTGCTGTATAATTATGATAAACGGTTTAATTACACAAGTTTGAGGTGTCCGGCATTGCGACTGCTAATCACAAGAAGTCCCGCGTGGCGTACACAAAGGCGAGCAGCTAGTTCTAACCGAATTGTCCTAACTACTTGGTATTCCTATATCAACGAGCCGTCCCAACTGAGTCCCTAGAGCGAGCAGAACCCACTGGGCTACTCTTGCACGTGACAGGGAAAATGGAGGACATACTAGCGCCCGCTCGAGTCACTCGACGATAAACGGGACTACAGGTGATACAGGTGATGCTGGCTGGAAACCCATATATTATTCATGAAATCGTTCTATTCAAATAGTGATGTTGTTTCCTATCGTTAAAGCAGAGCTCAGAGCCTGCGATTTGGAAAATATGGCATCGTTCTCCTTAATTGTTAGCATATGAATACT